GCGCCATCCAGAAACCAAAGAGAGAGGCTTCGGAAGAAACCTGTCCTGCCAGCCCCTGACTCAGGATGGCAGCCTCCAGTGCTGGGAGGAAATACATTTTGGTTGTCGAAGCCACTCAGTCTGAGTGCTTTGTCCTGGCGGCCCAGCACACCGAGGTGAGAGATGAGGAAGGTGGGGAGGGCATGGCGTTGCAGAGGACATGATGGGGGTGCTTCAGGCAGAAGGGGCTTCCATGTACTTCACTGAGGCTGAGAGGTAAAGGCAGACACAGACCAAGGCAGGCCCCATGGAGGAACCAGAGAAAAGGGCCTCAATGGGATGTGGTCAGGGCAAAAGACAGATCTTCACGGGTCGAGAAGTCAGTAGGACTCCCACCAATGGCCGGCGTAGTAGCTCATTCCTTCATGAAATTTGGCTGATGGGCAGAAGTGGGGCAGCGTGAGATGGAGCTGAGGGGGCGCTTAGAAGGTGGACCCTCAGGCAAGAGTCACAAGAGACCGTGTTGCAGAAGCAGTTGGAACAGCCTCTCAGTGAGCACCTCCAGGCAGGGAGCCTCTGAAGCCAAGGTTGGAGGTGGGGGGTAGGGGTGGGTCCTCCTGAGCCAGGAGGGGAGAAAGTGGCAGGTGGTGACAGGAGGCAGGTGGAGAGAAAGGGCTGGCTGCAGGCAGCATGGGGTTGAGGGCGGGGAGCTCCTGCCCCTCCAGATCCACTCTGCACCTGTCCACCTGCTTTGACACCGACTAAGGGCTTGCTGTCTGGCTTCCACCACTGGTAGTCTCAGCAGGAAACTGCAGGGTTGGAGGAGTGAGGCTGGGGGATGTTTCCCTCCTGGTCCCTCCTGCCATCTCTGGGCTTCTCTGTACCAAAGGTAACTGCTCCTGCCTGGAAGCCCTCTCCAGTCAGCTGTCTCGCCCAGGTTCCAGTAGCTGCCCTTGCCTCCTGCCTCGTCAGGCCTCAGGGCCATATGGGCTCCCCATTGTTACCAGCTCTGTGGTACTGCACCATCCCTGTAGGTTTCCCAAATTCAATTGTTCCTGTAGTAAACTCCTCAAAGTGCTGTCTCAAGGTACCATCTGACTGATGCGATGGTGTCCCCTTCCAGGGCTGTCTCTGAAGGTGGGAGTAAGGCCCTCTGCTTAGAGTCAGGAGGAAGAGAGGCTTGGAGGGAGGGGGACAGGTTGAGACATTGCCTTTGGAGGTGGGAGGCGACTTACCAACAGGGCAAGGCCTCAGCTGAGGCTGGGACCCGCAACACTGAGGGGCGCTGTCCCACACACCTGCCTGCTGTCCTCAGAGACTCAACTGCACGGGGAGGTGGAGAAGCTGGTTCAAGCAGGGTTTCAATTCTGTCAGGCAAGTGCAACCAAGGAATAGTGGGACAAGGACGTGTCGGAAAGAGAGCAGAGGGGGCTGGGGACCCCCCCCCCCCGCAACAAGGTCCTGCACTGCTACAGAAGGAAAGGAGCAAGCCAGCGACTGGGAAGAGCTCGGGGTTCGATGGGAAAAGACACCTGCATGTGTGATTTGAGAGAAGGCCTTACTCTGGGCTCTGCTCATCCCTGAGAGAGGGTGGTGAGGGGGAGATGAGGGAGTGAGAGGCTGGGATGATAGGTGGGCTGTCCATGCAGACCCCAAGGTCTGGGGGACAGGAAGACCGTAAGCCATAGCCACAGTTTTCACAAACGAGGGGGCATGACCGGGCCATGCAGCCACAGACCGCACACGTGTACAGCCGCACACATGCACAGCCGAACGCCCACAGGCACCCACAGTCACACTTGCGCACACACCCACAGCCCTCCCAGACACTCCAAACACCCTCACATGCACTCACCCTCACACACACCCCAGACAGCAGATGGGGCGCTCGGGTAATTGGTTAAACCTGTTCCGATGTCTGGCTCCGCCTTGGCAGCGCCCGTCTGACAGGAAAGCTGGCTGGGCCTGCACCGCTCAGCCTGCTGGCCGCCCCTCCCCTCCACTCCCCTCGCCTGCAGGGCTGCCCTGGAGTGGGCCCTGGCTGGCTCCCTGCAGGCAGAGCCCAGTTCACTTAGCCAGGGCGCCTCGATGCCTCCTGGAAGCGGTCCCAGCACCTGTGAGGAGGAGGTGGTGCACACCCAGTGCAGAGATGCTAGGAGCCTGAGCCGTACTGCTTCGAAGGCTGTGGGGACAAGTCCTGGAAAGTTCCACAGACAAGAGGATCTGCAAAGATCAGTCCCTGAAGGTGAGGCGTGTGGATTCAGCCACTAGGGTTCAGAACAGGTCCCCTGAGCTACCTCTACTTTAGCTGCATACAGTTTGGAGCTCCTACAGGTGCTCATGATACCTCAGCCCATGAGATCTGCAAGCCCTGGGGGACCAGCCCAGCTGAGGGGAATGGCCGACCTGGGCTCCCTCAGAGAAGGCCTAGCCACGCAGCGCCTGCCCGCCAAGGGCACCAGCAGGCCAATGTCTGAGGGTCCTCACCCTCTGCAGGGACCCCGGATCTCCAGGTGGGAGGAGCCGTTGGGGGAGGGAAGGGAGCAGCAGTCCTTGTCGTCGTCTTCCCTTCTCGGCTGCATCTGTGTCTCTTCGAGAGACTTTGGTTTGTTCCCTGGAGAAGGCCCAAAAACTCCCAAATTAGCAAACCTGGCAAGCCCGCAGCTCAGAAAATAGTTCATCCTGATTCCATGTTTTTCAGGCTCACAGAAGCCTTTATTAATGAAGTCACAACACCAATATTTACCGTCTGCAGGGAGAGGCACAACATGGGGGGTGGATGGGAGTAGGCAGGGACTCCCCGCCCCGCCCCCCGCAGGCCTGGCCTCAGGAGATTGGCAGGTTTCCTTGGGTCCCTTCCAGCCCTTTATTCAGATGACAGGGGGTGCTCTGCTGTGATCTTCCTGGACCCCCTCCCCCTATCAAGTGAGGCAGGATCTTGAGAGGAACAGCTCAGCCCTTTCTCCATCCCCCACTGGGGCCAAAAGGATGACTCTTCCTCGCACCTTCCTTCCACACCTGGGCATGTGTGCTCCCAGAAGTGATCCCCCTGCTTGGCAGCAAGGGTCTCCGTGTGGGTTAATCTGGACGTATCCAGGTCAGGACTTTCAAGAGGTGCAGAATGCATTCCTGGTTGATGGAGGGAGACAGGGCATTGGGATGGGACAAAGCCCTTTGGTTTCTAGCATTGACTGGACGGACACAAGTGAGGTGGGCAGAGGCAGGGGAGAGATGCTGAGAGTGCGAATGGACCTGGGTCTGTGGCCCTAGCAGAAGGACCTTGTGTGCTTGGATCCCTGCACGTGGCCCAGGCCACAAGGCTGGGCCTCTGACCTCTTTCCAGTGAGTTCAACATTGATCGAGCACCCAACATTCCAGGTGGGAAGAACAGCATGAGCAAAGGCACAGCACAGGGAAAACCTGTGGCTCACTCAGGGACAGGGATGAGGACACTGAAGCAGATACCAGGAGCAAGGCAAGAAGATGGGGCAAGGGGCTTAGAAAGGGGGTGACTCTGCCCTGTTTGGGTGCAAGGAAGAGAAACCTAGCTACAGCAGGGAGGGCCTCCTTTGAAGTGGGCCTCGTCCTTGACATTCACAGGAGCCTTCCTGGAGAAGCAGGGCCCGGGCAGGGGAGCTGCAGGAGGTGGGGGAGGTTGGGGGCTGCAATAAGGAGGTGTGGTTGGGAAGCCAGTTTAGACTCCACCCACCAGATGGGCACGGATGGGTCTGGAGAGGAAGCTTGAGGAAGATTCCCAGGTTTCCTGTAGCTGGAGAAACCATGTACATGGCTAACGCTGTTTGCCGAGGTGGGGGATCCTGGAGAAGCACAGGTGGGAAGGTGAGCCCAGCTGTGGATGAGTTGGCTTTGAGGTGCTGAGGGGCAGGGGGTGCAGCAGGCAGCTGGCTTGATGGGTCTGCAGCTCAGCAGAGGTCAGCTATAGACACAGAACAGGGAGCCGAAGAGAAGTCCTGGAAGTGGATGTGAGCCCCCGAGGCAGAGGGCACAACTACGAGGCAGGGGGAGCAAGGGCGGACCTGGAGATGGCCAGAGGTGACAAGGCATGGCTCACACTGAATAAACTCAGGCTGGAGGAGGAGTCAGAGCTACCGAAATGAAGGCAGAGCGGGGTGGGAGAGTCCAGGAGGGCATGGCCAGCAGATGGGGAGCAGGTAAACCCAGACGGGAAGTGGTTGAGTTTGGCCACAAGGGGGTGGCCAGTGACTGTGGTTGGTGACTGTCATTAGCACCAGTGGAATGGTGGCCCAGAGGCCACAGAGCAGAGGTTTCAGGAGCACATGGGAGGTGAAGAAGAAAGAAGTCTGGATGTCATAAGGGAAAGACTTAGGAATGCGGATTTGCTTGTCAGGAAACCTTCATCCTGACAAGTGAGAAAGACGAATGGACAAAAGAAGGGCAGGTGAACACAAGAGCTCAGCGGGCCCAGTGCATTGCTCTTTCTTGGGCTGGGAAGGCCATGAGTCCCTTGGGACTGGTTGCAGGCTCAGCCTCAAGCCCTGTCTCTGCAGTCTTAACCTGCTCAGGGGTTCTCCAAGGACAGGTGAGCATCCTGGTGGGCCCAGGACTTCAGTCTGGAACTGTCAGCCTTTGTGAACGGTGTTCCCTCCCCCAGACCCCCATGCTCCCCTTTCCTCTGGTTTCTCCTCCAATGGAGAAGCCACCAGAATCTCTAAGCAGAGGGAAGCACTCTCCCTCTCCCACTGAACTAGCTGGACCTGATTCCCACCCCTCAATATGTTAAGACCTGGGCCTGTCCTCCCTTAAGATACAGGGTGGGCCCTTCCCTAGGTCTAGCTTGTTTCTCCTGCTGTGGAGCTGGAGGTAGCGATCAGGGTTCCCCAACAAAAGGGAGGAGTTAATGAATTACCCTTGCCCCACCCCCCACCAGTACCCCACCCCAGGCTCCCAGACCCTGAATGCATTTGCTCTACTAGCCCCCACTGGCCCTCAGAGCCAGAATCTACCACCCCAGGCTCTGGGGCTGGAGGTGGATGCCCGTGTCATTAAGAGAGAGACTTTTATTATTCCCATAGGGAAGGGAGACACAGGGGATCACTAAACTACAGTGGTGCCTGGAAAATAAATTAAAACAGAAACGCATCAAAACAAAAGGGAACTCAGAGACATGGAGAGCAGCTGGGAGGCTGCGGTGGCAGGCGGCCCGCCCAGGTGGCAGGCTCTCCGAGGAGAAGGCCAAGTGGTCCCAGGCTTCAGCCAGCCCATTGCTTGTCCCTCTTGTCAATGGCAGCCCCGGGCTTCGAGCCCTGTGGGGCCGTGACTCCAGGCCTCCCCGAAGCCTGGCCAGGGAGTGACCAGAGTCCAGCTTGGGCCCATGCAGGGGCCTGGCCAGCAGCACTCTGCCCTCGTGGGTCTGTGGTTGCCCACCCTAGTCATTGGAGGTGACATCGATGTCCTCCCCATTGGCCTGCTTCGTGGCGATGCGCCACCGGTTGATGTGATGGGAGCCCTTCTTCTTCTGCTCGGACTCAGGCCCTTCCTCCTCCAGCTTCTGCCGTTTGTACTTTGTCCTCCGGTTCTGGAACCACACCTTCACCTGGGCCAGGGAGGGAGGGGCACAGATGAGAAACTCAGGAAGCCCCCAGAGCAGCCACAGGGGCCTCAACACTCAGGCCAAGCTGAGAGCCTGATGGGAAGACAGAGGCTACATGGGGTCAGGGCCCCCAGGCCAGGGTCCCCTCTGACCAGCTGCCCCTATGGGTCTGACGTTCACAGAAGGGGAAAGCGGGGCAGGAAGAGAATACAGTGGGCCAGAGAGAAGGGTGGTTTTCCTGCTCCTCTCACAGAAAGGGTCATAGAGCCGCTGCGCATCCTAGCTCCGCTGGCCCCTGCAAAGCAAAGCCGAGGTGGGGAGCCCAGGCTCCGGAAGCTGGCAGACCTGGGGCTCCAATTTCTAGAGGAGAGCTCGTAATGAATCCTTCATGGAGTGGAGGTAAACAGTAAATGAGAGAGCCTCATGGGTTCCCATGAGCTCCCACATGGCCCAAAGTGGACACCACCCCACGGCCCAGCCTCATGCTCTTTTCCATACACAGAGGCAGAGTGGGCATGGCATCATAACCAGGAGGTGGTGTCACTACCAAAAGCAGTGCCTGGACAGCCAGGCTACGCCTGGGGGCTCAGAACCCCCTGCTAGAGACTCCAACCTCACACACTGTGTGGTCTCCTTCTTCAGGGGAGGCTTTCTTAGCAACCTCATGCGGCTCTCCCCTGCCCCCAAAGGCAGAGCTGTAGAGGCTGGAGCTGGGCAGGTTGGGGGGCCTTGTCCCGCAGGTGTCAGCTCCTCGGGGTAGTCCGAAACCCTGCAGTGAGACCTCATTCTCCTTGGGTAGACAAGGACAGGGAGGAGGCGGGTCTGAGGGAGGTGTCCTGCCCTTCACGGACAGCTCTAGACCTTCCGTCCCCACAGCGCTGGCTCTTGCAGCCCATCCAGATGTGGGACCAGGTCACACAAGGAACAGTCAGGAGAAGCCCAGGGGACAAAAGTGAGCTCCACTTTGACCCAGGGAACTCCCTATTCTGTGTCTGGCAGTGAGAGCCCTGGCAAGGTACGGGGTGGGGTTCAAACAGAAACTGGACAACCATCCTTCACAATGGAGGAGGCATGAGGCGGAGGGCAGGTCTATGGTTCTAAGCCAACTCCTCTAGGAAGCCTCCCTAGACTTTATCTCCTTTCTTATCCCACTCTTTTCCCTCCTCCTCCAGCATCTGTTCAGTGTCCAGGACACAGCCCTGAATGTCCTCTCATATATAATCTGGGAGGCTTGTCCTGGCTGCTGGACTAGCCTTAGTGCTTGTGGGCTGTGGAGAAAGCTTTTGTCTATCAACTCTATCTGACTCCACGGTTCTTTACTTGGCTCTGCAGAGTCGGGCCAGACCCAAACCATCTTCAGCGTTGGCAGGAGGATCCTGGGTGTTGATTCTCAGCTAAGTCCCTTCTCCCTCTGGGCTTCAGTCCTTCATGCCTAGGAGAAATGTTTTGGGGACCCTTGCAGCTCCAGGATACCTTTTGGACTCTTGCTCCGAGGACCCCTGGGAGAGGAGGTACAGAGGGCAGGCTACAAGGGACGGATGGTTTCCAGGAAATGACAGCACATTTAAAAGCAAGTGGGTGTGACCACTGCAGCTGTGCAAACGGTGGTGCATGCAGACTCTTGGTTTCGGCAGCAGCAGTGATGCTGAGGGGAGATCCTTGAACCCTGGGCAGAGCTGAGGGCAGGTCTCAGAAAGATTGCCAGGTCCAGCCCCTGCTCCCAGAGAATGGGGGGAAAGCACAGCCTTAGCCACAAGGCCAAGCCGTGCATCCAGAGGCAGGCCTGGCCCCTGGGCCCTGCAGATGGTGTCATGCCCAGGAGGTGCTGCCCCCACACCCTTCTCAGGCTGTCCTCTCTATCCCACCTACCTCAGGACTTCCCCCCACAGTCCCCTCTTGCCAGGTTCTCCACTGTACCATCTGCCCTGGTTTGAGAGCACTGATTTTAGAGCACTGAGATGGGGATGGGGGAAGCTGGAACTCAGTGCTTGCAGAGCAGCCAGCCAGGGGCAGGAAAGCTGTCCCAGGAAGCGGGGTGCCTGGCCTCAATGGATGGATTAAGGGTAAGGGGATTCTTCCCGCATTTACAAGCCCATAGCCTGCACATCTCACCTAGGCTGGCAGCGGAGGACAGTGGGGGCTCTGGGCACAGGCTGCCGGACTCCAGGCCCACCTATCTTTGGGCGCAGAGCCACCTGGACCCTGGGTGGTTCTCAGCACAACCATTTGGCAGTGGCCTGGCCCCTGCCCCCCACCTTGGAGCCTGCTGTGACTGTGCCTGCCAGTGGGCGGGTGAGCTCACCCTGCCTCCTGTGCGTGACTCAGGGCTAGATGCAGGGCCAGGGCGTCATTCCTGAGAAGCCCAAGTGGGCTGGCCGAGGTTGCCCGTCAGGTGATGAGGGCAGCACCAGGGACTGAGGGCCCTTTTCTGTACCTTCCTCCACACACACTAGCAAGTGTCCTGACAGTCACATTGGCCTGTAGTGGGATGGGCCCAGTATGCTGCCCTTGTCTAGCAACACTGGCTTAAAGAAGGAAAGCTCTGATGGAGGCTTCAGGCACAGGGTAGGCCAGAGGCAGCTTCCTAGGGCACCCAAGTGCAAGGAGATTCTGAATATTTTCTCCATGAACAATACTGGGGTCAAGTAGGCATCTCTCTAGAATCAGGGACATACACCCTCTCCCTGTGCAGCCTGGCCATCTTCCAGAGAACGGCCTTCGGCTGAGTGTCCAGATGCTATTTACAAAGACTGCAAAACAGGGTGGTGCTTTTGACTTCATAGCATTAGTGGAAACGTCAGGATGCATAAGCCTGGCACCGTGTGATCACAACCATAGAAAAACAAAATCTACACACAGCAAAAAAAGACTATAAGGAAATGTACCCAAAGTGTGGGTGATGTTTCTTTCTTCTTTCTACTTTTCTGAATTTCCCTTAACAGTTATTGATAACTGCCCTCAGCTCTGCCCAGGGTTCAAGTTATTTTTTACTTGGAAAAAGAAAAGGAACAGGGCTCTGCGTGTATTAGGAGATAAGAGTGACATTTCATGACCTCTCCAACCCAGCTGGGCAACTCTGGATCCTCCAGAGCCCCTTCCCTAGAGAACACAGGCCCTGGGAAGGAGCCAGGTCATATGGCTGCCCATCACCTGCCTGTATTCCTTAGTACCTTTTCCCAGGCTCAGTAACAGTGACCCCCCACTGTGCACTAATTTATTTCTTTACATCTGTCTCCTCACCAGACTGTGAGACTGGAGAACCAAAGTGGTGTGTTAGTCCCAGTGCCCTGCCCCGAGGACACGTTCCATGTATAGTCATCTGGCTGGACAGAGGCAAGGTGACCTAGCCCTATGCTCTAGGCAAGAGGTACCTGGGCCAGACCTGGAAAACAGGAGAAAATGAATAGAAGAGGGGGAGAATTCTAATCAGCAAAGGGTTTAGGAAGTACTCAATGATGGAGAGACAGGATCTTTTACTTAGTTTTGTGGACACTTTTGCAAGAGGGCCAGTTCTTAATACTCCACGTGGTAAATTGGATTGGCCACTTTCAGGGGAAGTTGGAGGAGGGAGACCTACTGCTGGGCAGAAGAAGGGTTGGCTTGAGTCAGGCAGAATGAAGAATGTGAAACTGCTATGAATGAATGAGTGTATCAATTTGCTAGAGAATTGATCAATGTATGCATTAATGAATGAAGGCATGGATGTAAGAACAAAAGGAAAAATGAACAAACAAGCAAACTATATCTCCAGCCAATGTTTCACAACTAATCAGACTTTACTTTGGAATAATCTGCTATTTTGAATGAACAAGGTCTGGAATCCTTCTTTTTCACCATTCCTGCAGGCGCCTTCACACTCTCAGGTGAATAACTGTCTTGTCTTCAAAGAGTTCAAATATCCCAGAATAGACAGAAGCCTGGAGACATCAATCAAGCCACCCTTCAGCCTACTCTCTTCCTTGGGGACCCATTTCCTATCATTTGATGATGTGAGCTGTTCCTACTCTCAAGGTCAAGCCCAATGCCATGCTAAGTTCAACCCTCACTCCAGTAAGCTGAGGTCACCTCTAGCTCTCCACCAACCATAACCATAATCTCCCTAAGCCTCCCTGTCTCCTCCTCTTTCAGCCCAGCCTGGACCCTTCCTCTCTCTCTCAGGGAGACATCATAAGATTCTCCTCAGGACATGTCTCCGGTCCCAGCTCCTCAGAGAACCACTCTAATCTCCTTTATCTCCCCCTCATCCTCCCACACAGGACTCCTGGAACATGAGATGCAGAAGTTCTTGAAGAAAAGCCAAGACTTAGAGAAGAGATGTGGACACACCGTGAGCTAGAAACAAATGTCTCTCGATTTTCCCCTAAAATTTAGGTCACCTGGATATCCCCCTCTTACCCATCCCTCTAAGGGTAGAACATTTCAGAGCAGGAAAGGACCCTCCAAATCCTCCTTTCCATGCCTCTGAGGGGAAAAAGCCATAGTCAGGTGACCATATACTCCTGCCTCCCAAGATCTCCCTGCCCTTGGACTCCAAGATAGTGGCTGGTCTTGACAGCTCCTGCTCTATCCACCTACCTGCCTCAAACCCTCCCCTTCTTTCCTGCCAACGTAGGATCCTAGGTGTTCCCCCCAAGCCTTCCAGGTCTGAGGCCTCCTGGAGCCTTCTTCTCAAGCTTTTCTCTACTGACACCCCTAAGCGCACAGCTGTGACATCAAGGGGACCCTAGTCATTCATCCTGTGCATGTTTCACAAGTGTGCAAGCTTTACACTTAGCCACATCACTCTGAGGAATCTTCAAAGCTTCAGACCACATTTCTGTACCCTTTGCCCTCACCGCTCAGCTAAACTCTAACCCAGGCAAGGTCAAGAAACACTTGCTGGTCTGTTCAGAGGAGAAGGAGTAGCTAGAAACACTGACCAGATCAGCCTGGAGCAACCAGATGCTTTCTCTCACTCCCCCTTAAACTAACTTACCCCTTCCCCTTACACACACACAAACACACGCAGAAGCATGCAAGCTGCACTCCATGTCATGCTACTGCCTAATGGCATCTGACGTGTACCTATGCTATCATCTGATCTCTGGGCATCAATCACATGAAGCCCGTTGGTGCCCCACATGGTAAGCAGACACATGTTGCACACACCCATTATACACACTCATTCAACCTGAGCCTCTGGAATGACCCAGGCCCGGGTCTGCCCAACCAGCCACCAGAACTGAAGCTCAGACTGGTACCTTCCTGGTCATCCTCCAGGGCTGCACCATAGCAGTGATGAGCAAGTCATCAGAACCTGAAGGTAGAACTAGCTCCTGTCCACGGCTCTTCCCTCACCTCCTAGATTGAGGCACTGGCCTTCCCAGCACAAATACCCCACTCCTACTAAACATATACAGTCACTCAGGGTGCCCACCTCCCAGTACCTCATGTGAAGCTTTGGGAGTACAGACCTCTGAGCTCTGGATTAAGAGCTCACTCACACACTGAGCTGAGTAACTAACCCTCCCAGAAGTTTTATCTACGAAGTGGTATATGTATAATCTAAATCAACAATCAGCTGAGGAAGTGCAAGGGAAAGACAGGAGGAGAGGGACAGGGAGGGAGCAGTGACAGCAGATAGCAAGGGCAGTGACTGACAAAGTTAGTGTGTATTTGTTTGGGCAAAGAGAAATGTGCTCATTAATTCAATACACGTTTATTGAGCATCTACGCCATCCTGGGCACTGACCTGGGCCCTGTGAAAAATAGGCAGGCTTGGCCTCTGCCTCCCAGTGCTAAGATGCTCAGGCCTGTTATTCATCACAGTCACCCAGATAACTGTTTTTAAACTTTCCTGCACCCTATCCTGGACCTCCTAAGAAAATCTCCTGGGTGAGGCCCAAGAATCTGTGTTTTAAGATCTCCCTGAGAGATGCATGCTGCTGGTCTACAGACTGATGTTTGGACACGGAAGATAAGTAATAACAGCAAAGTTTGATGCAGATCATGATAGGCAGGGGCTGTGCGGTAAGCTCTGAGAATGAGGAGAAGGGAGTATATAGAAACACAGAGAAGTAGAATGTAGAGGAGCCACAGAAACTCGGCTAGAAAAAAACCCTGGAATTTGTGTCATTCATTCTCACAGAAACAGAAACTGAGGCCCAGAGAGAAGACAAAGCCAGAGCCAATAAGATAATAGATAACCATTAGCAGACGTATGAATCTGCTGTCAGTTGCTAAATAGCTCTGTAGAGATGAAGTTTGAGATGAACGGTGGACACAGAGAAGACAAAATAGATGACGAAAATAATGAACAGATGGGTAAATAGTACTTATTGTTAGGAAGAATGTAGAATTAATAGAAAAATAAGAAATATAAATTAACCAGTTTGGGGAGGCAGTTTAATGACAGTAGACAGAAGTAGATGGCTAGATGTAAAACAGCTAGGGACAGATTAGAGCTTTGAGAGATAGGTATAGATATTAACAGTAGAAATGCATGGCAGGGGGCTGATGGGGGTGACTGATGCTTGACAAATAGCTGATGGCTGCAAATGACAAGTAAGCTTGCCTGGTAATTACCAAGAGGTGGCTAGAGAAGTAGTTAATTATATATCCTGGCTCCAAATGATAAGTTATGAGGGCAACAGAAAGGTAGTGTTGATGATGGAAACCAGATAAGGCAGGAAGAACGCTGGACTAAGAGGACACCCAGGTTTGGATCTTCTTATGCTACTAATCTGACATACAACCTTAAACAAAGGGAAGGGACTAGGGATGGTGATTAATATTATTTGAGCTCATATGAGGTAACTTTGTTAATCATTAAACAACCTATTTTCTCGATGAGGAAACCAGAGCTCAGAGAGGTGAAGTAACTTGCCCAGGGTTACACAGTAAGTTCGCAGGTATTTAAAATTGTGTTTGCCTGCCTGGGAAGCTCTGCCCAGTCCATCTCCCATCTCAGGATCTTCACCTGGAAGGACAGGCTGCCACAGAAGTTTCCTCAGGCTCAAACCTCCTCATTCTTTTTGTTGTACCATATGGGAAAAGCATTTACAGACAGAAAGATTAGCCCTGAGTTTTGATAGTTAATGAAGCTGGATACATTATGTTATTCTATCTGATTTTGTTTAAAATATATGTTTGAAATGTCTCCATAAAAATGAAAGAGACAGTCAGTCCGTTTACTAACTATCATTGTTAGGAGCAAATATTGACAGGCAGCTAGATTCAGTTTGAAAGAGAGTTAATTAAAAATGCTCTCACTGAGCTAAAAAATTGAAAGTTTAAAAACAATGACATTATTTCAACAAGTGTTAATCTGTGGGTGGTAAGATTAGAAACCATTTTTGTTTTCTTACACTTCTGCAATTAAAATTTAATAAATATTACTTTTTAAATGAAATTAATTATAAACACCATTCTTAAACTGACACCTTGTTTCAAACAATAATTTTAAAACACTGCCAGGAGGGAAAAGGGAGTGTTATTTTATTAACATATTCTTTTAAACAGATCTTTCTTTGAAACGTTTTTAAAATTAACTCTTGTTTTATAAGCTTTTCCCCTATAGTTAGAACAGCCCAGCCAGCAAATCTGAAAACCCATGGGTCCTGCCTCCAACCTGTGAGCAGATTTGTCGATTGTTAAGTGGGGCATCAGATATGATGACAACAGATGCCAAAATGCCACCGAAGGAGGAGAGGGTGAGGTCCCCTGAAGAGAGCTGGGGATGCAGTAGGGTCTGGGCTTTCTCACTAGGCTCCCTTCCTACTCTCACTGCTAAAGGGAGGCTCCGGCTGCCCCCAAAGCCGGGTATCTTCTCACTGCTCAGGACCTGGGAGGATGGTGGTGTCTTGGGAGGGGAAAGACCAGGAGGAAAGAGGACCTCAGCGGGAAGGGAGCTGGGGAACCCTAGGGCAGACCTCTCGCAAATCTGGGAGCCAGTAGGCACGCAAGGCCCATGCAGAGACTGAAATCTGCCTTGAGGGCAACAGCTGGGCTGCGGGGGTCGCTGAGCCGCACTTCAATACGTGGGACCCCGGTGGACCAAGAGCTTATGCAGTGCTTCCAGGCAGCATTTATTTATGGCAGTCTTTACTTAAAATGAACCCAAATCCATCTCCCTCTAACTTTCATCTAATTCTTTAATTTTTTCCCTTAAATTAATGATCAGTTACAAAAATACTACACAGTAATTGTTAATTTCAGTCGGTTCAAGCCTGGACACCGTTGGAGTTTATCCCCTCTCCCACTCGACAGCCTTCTCAGTGATTCAGAGCAGCCCCTGAGAACCCGGGGTCGACTTCCCACCAGGCCCAGGCCCCTCAGATGCTCTGTGAGTGCACACTGTGGCTTTCACAGCCCTACCAGCCAGCCTGCGCTGGATCAGTGCCACCCTCAGACCCCAAGCAGGGGCTGTCCCCTCCCTGACTAAGCCCCTCTGTTGATAGTCTGAGGACACCTGGGCTTTCTCCCCAGACTATCTCCGCTGGTGGGCAGCCAAGGCCCCACCAGTTTTGCCCAGGAATAGCAGCAAAGCCAGTGTGGACTGGCTCCCCGCAGGACCATGAGCGCCCCGACACAGTGTGGGGGGAAAGGGCTGCAGTAATGCCAGGGCTGGGGCCAGCTCCAGTGGCCTCGGTGCTGCCTGCGCTGCCCGCTCCCGAGGCGGCCCGCTTCCTCCAAGGTAGCTGGTTTCCCTGTGATGGTCTTTGGGAGCCGGGCTCGGGATACAGTTTGCATTAGTCTGCCTCCTGCTAGGTCCTTAGGGCTTGACAAAAGTCCTGTGGCCTTAGCAGGGGCACCCAGTCTCCAGGAAGGGGCTCTAAAGATGGGCTTGATCGCAGCGCCGCGGGAAATGGGGGCCTTTTGGAACCCAGCAGGTGAGACTCGAGGCTGGGCTGGAGCGGGCTCAGGGACTCTCCTGCATCCGCGCACCCTCAACTCCACTCGGGCTCCGTGCGCAGCGCCCGGCGCCGGGCAGGCCGCGACCAGAGGTGATTACCTGCGTCTCGGAGAGGCTGAGGCTGCCGGCCAGCTGCTTCCGCTCGGCGCCCACTACGTAGTGGTTCTTTTCGAAGGCGCGCTCCAGCCGCAGCAGCTGCGAAGGCGAGAAGGCCGTGCGGATCCGCTTGGGCTTGCGTGCGAAGGGGCCGTGCAGAAGCAGCCCGTCCTGGGGCACGTCGCTGGCTGCTGCCCCGCCGCCGACGGCAACACACGCAGGTACAGACAGAGAGAAGGGGCGCTGTGAGCCGGGGCCGGCAGAGTCCGGCCTCCCGCCCCGCTCCCACGTGCCCTGCCCTCTCCATTCCTTGGTACGCACACACACCCCATTTCTCCCTTTGCCCTTTTGTCGCTCCTTTTCTAGTCCACTCCCCTCCCCAACACCTCCCCACACTCGAGAGCCATTCCGCGGGGTGGGCGGGGGGTGACTCGGGGAACAGCGCTGCAGAGCCCTCTATTATGCCAAGAAATGGTCCAGACCCCGCGAGGCGCCGACTAGCCCAAATCCACAACGCTTGTGACAGCGGAAGCGGCCAAGAAAAGTCCCTTGGCGCTCTTTCTCCGCCCTCTCCCAGAGGGGCTGCCCTGGCCGCCAGCCCCAACCATTTGCTTTTAGTTAACTGGTCACAAAGCATCTCCCTCCAAGAAGACTAAGAGTAGAGGCAGCGCTGCGGGTCAGAAAGGTGATAAGGGGAGCAGCAGGGTGCTAGGCACACCCTAGCCAAACACAGATTCAAGAACTAGAAGTTACCCAAGGAGCAATCCCTTCACACCTGCTTGCACTAATTTGTGGCTGAATGCTCAGGCTACTAGCTCATTAAAAACTCCTGCCAACAGGCTCTAGCTCTGTCTTGCAGGGGGTATAAATGGGCCAGTAGCTAGGTCAGTGGTCCAGGCAGCACCTGGAATTGGAAAGTCAGGCTCCTTCTTCCCCTTTCTCCACCTCTGCCTCCCCAGGTCTTGGCTGTCCAGAGACCCAGCCTCTAGCGTAAGCCCCAAAGCGTAAGCCCCAAACCCCCACCCCAACACACACACTGGAAACTCCAAGTACTGTCTGGTGGGAAAAGCTTCATCCCTGAATAGTCCCTTGCTAAAGAAACGTGTATAAATATCTAGATGTCATCTTTCTCTCTAATATATATAGATATAGATATATTGGTTTCTGCATGGGCGTGTGTAAATATATGTTCCAGCCTCCCTACTGTCTTTTTCTCCCATCTACTGTATAGGATTTTTAGAGTGTGACTGTCCCTTAGCAAATGTTGGCCAGCATAGGGACTCAGCTCCCACATGCAGGAGGAGGGGATAACTCTGGATTGGATGAAGCTGGGGTAGAGGAGATGGGGTCAGGAATGATCAATGCCAAAACAAGCCTCCACCCACAGCCCCTGTCTCAATGAACCCCCTACTAGACCTTCACACAATCTCTGGCTTGGTTGCACATGCTAACAGGACCTGACAAAATCACCCGTGGATTCTCATGCGAGGGCACATAACAGCCTCCTGATGTACCTACAACACAGAACCCTAGATGGAATATTTTGACAGAATTAGCTGTTGGGATTGCCTGCTCCAATTTTCTTCAGAGATGACTACTGGTTGGATTTGATTTGACCTGTTGTTTTGCTCTAAAACAATCACCTGGATAATTCAGTTGACATCTCCCATCTCTGGAAATATCTATGTCAGTGAAGCAAAGACACATAATTGAGATGCTGTAGCTACAACTCTCCAGGTAACTGTCCTTGTCCCTCTTCTCGTGGAAACTGCCTGACCTTACTTCCTCCAAGTCTCTGGGCTTTGAGTACTTAAACAGGCCAACTTTTTGCTGGTGTTTTCTGTGGAACAGAGTTGCTAGGACTGGGGGACTATTGCCTGGGAGGAGCCGGTCACTAACCTCCAGTCACCCTATCAATTTCAAGTGGTTGGATCTGTTTGGCTACAAAAATGGTGGTACCACATCAAAGGGAGAAGGATGAGGGACATCCCATTTGGTTATTCAAGTGGGGGCAGATCTAGGGCTCTCAGGTCTGACTGAAGGAAGAGAAGTTTGACTTGGGGTAGTGGAACAGACAGATGGTCAGGGGAGGTGGTCTGGCAGAGAGAAATAAAGGGCAGAGAAACAAATATGGAGCCTACTCCAGGTGGGGAATAAGGAAGATTAAAGTCTCTGGGGTGAAGCCAGTGAGGTAGGCTAGGGAAAGGTGGGTGGAAAGCAAATGCTGCTTGCTGATATTAACAACTTGCTTCAAAAAACATTGTTATGAATCTGGGTGAAGTCCCAACAGTGGTTTTCTCCAGACAAATGAACCAGAGAGGGACAGAGAAAGCGTAGCTCATCCCAGCGTTGGCAGGGTTTGGCCTCAGCTGCTGGGCTGACCTAGGTTGGTCAGACGTGAGGCTGCAGTGTGGAAAGCTCTGTAAGTGTGTGACTAGGATGCAGAGGTGTGAAGGGCAGTGTGGGGCTGAGGAAGCAGGTTTGCAGTCCGCCCCAGTGTACGTGGCTTAGTGACTATGTTGTTATTCTGTTGTCATCTGTGTGGTGGAGTGCTTTATGTTTGTCTTTATAAACCCAGATTAGAGGATGAAGGCAACATACACGCTCCTCTGCCTCAAGTCTGGTTATTTTAGGGAGATGCTAGGTTGCTTTAGATCTGCCTTACTGAGAAAACGGCCCCAAGTCATTGTCATGTCCAGTTGTGGTAGACAGCATGTGTCCTAAAGGGCATATTCACATGCACGTGCAAAAACATAGGGATCCTTCGACCCTATCCAGAGAAGCAGGATACTGCAAGATTAGTCAAGATGCTAAGTGATGACAGGTTATTTGATTCCAAAAGAATAAGGACGTTTCCCTGTTAGAAAGAGGATGTTTCCTACACCAGCCATCCTGAGAAACAGATTAATTGCTACAGGTTTCTGCAAAGACAAGGGTGATGCCTTAAGTGCATGAGTACCTGTACCCCTCTGACCTGTGGGAAGGAGGCCTGAACCCCCACTACCAGGGCTCAGTTTCCCTTGACGGGACCACAAGGGCAGAACAAACTTGGGGCTAGGGTGCGGCCTGTTTGGAGGCAGTGGTTCCGAGCTGTGAGAACTCGCTGTCAGTTTCAGACTAGGACAGTTAGCAAAGTGGAAAGGGACTAGCATAGCCTTCCCAGGAGCTAGGGAAATGAACACCCCTCTCCCCACTGCCTCCCTACCCCTCCGATTTTTCTACAGCTGCTCTTTTAGGGGCCCCTTCAAGGGAATGGCTGGGAACTAGCAACAGAATCCCAAGAATGAGGCGGCTGGAGGTGGGGGCTAGGGTTCCGGAAACACCCGGCGTCAGAACTGCAGTCTTTGCTGGAGAGGCCGCCGCCGGCCTGGAGCTCAGGGCCGGAGGGTTGGGCGGAAGGCCCTAGGGCTAGGAGGGTAGAGGCAGGACGGGCAGCGGAGATAACCTCATTCCCCATCTTCCTGCCGGTACAAAGGCGACCTTAGAAGCTCTGGCCCATTTTCGTTGCGGGTCCGGGAGAGGGGGGAGGGCTGGGTCTCTACAGCCCCATCCCGGCGTTGCTCCCAGGCCCTGAAAGTTCCTGATCTCGGGGAAACAGCATCGATAACCGGCCCAATCCTGGTCTTCGCCTGCCCCTCCCCTTCGGGCCTCGAGAGCAGCACCGACCTTCGGGGTCCGGGACGGTTCCGCATTCGCTTTTCCCCTTCCACTGCCTCGGTAAGCGGAGACGCCTCTTCCCCGCGCGCCAGGACCGCGGCGCCCAAGCGCGCTGCGCACAGAGCACAGACATGTTCCTTTTCGTTCGTGTGGGGTTTCGTTTGTTGCATTAAAACGGGGCTGAAAAGAGCATCGCTGAGACCCGGTTCTCTAGAAAACGCGGCGCGGGAGGGCCCGAGACGGCTCGACTCCCAGCCCCGAGGCCTGGCCGGGACTGGAGGGCGCAGAGCTGCCGGGGAGCGCAGCGGTCTGCAGCGGCGACGATGGGCCACGAAGCCACAGCGCTTCAGGGTTCGAAAAGTCCTTCAGTACCCAACGGATTTCCGGGTCTGAAAACGCAGCCACACTTGGGTTCATCTCCGCGTCCAGACTCGGTTCTTAAGAGAAAAATCCAACTGTTTGTGCAACTCGATAACGTACCCGCTAGAACTGAGGGCTAGGAGACCGGCGGCAATTTCCAAGAGGGTTTTGCGGAGGATTTATTCGCCTCGCCCGGCGGGAGAAGCTCAGAGCCGGAGCTGGATCTCTCTTGAGGCGCCCCCGGCTCTCGGCGCCCCGAGGCGGGAACTGCGGCGCGGAGGGCATCGGGGACTATATTCGAAGCCGAGGGTACGGCCCAGGAGGCCGCCTCCGGACAAGCTGAACCGCTGGAGGCCACAGTACTTAGGAGCGGCCCCGCCCTCTCCTCCTAGCTCCTGTCCCTCCACCAGCCTCCAACCCGCCAGCCCCTCGGCAGGCCGAGGTGGACTGAGGGCTCCCACACTGCCCCAACTCCAACTTGGCCCCTGAGCGCCAGGTTTCGAGACCCAGGCTGTGGATCGAGCCCACGGAGGACCACGGTAGATTGCTCAATTTTGAAAACCTCCTCATTTTATCAGTAAACATTTATTTTTAAGTGGCAGAAACTCTTGCCCAAGGCAGAGGACATTGTAGGCATTTTTGTTTTTTCGGATTTGGATTTGGGCAAGTCTTTGAAATCTTCAAAGAGGAGATAAAGCTGCCCACAACAATTCTTATTCTAGTAATTACATTCTCTGGTTTTGTGGGATCTGCCAGGTCAGCATCTATTGGCCAGGTGGGGCTGAAAAAATTGCCTGACAAATCGGGACCCGGGAAAGCAGCTTTCTGTGAAAGTCAAAGCGTCAAGAGGTAATCTTCATTTTATTATCTAAATAATTGTGCCAAACATATAATTGACTGTAGACCTAGACTGTAGACCGTCATCACATCAGCTCCCGGAGCCGAAGCTCCAGCCATGCCCCTTTCATTTGTTTCTCTAAAAGCAGGGTTACCTAGCTCTGAGCCATGGACCCTGCTCATAAGGCTGTGGTGTGGTGTACACTAATAAAATAAAACTAGAAACTAAAACAATTACTGTATAAATCAAGGCCACTCTTTAAAATAAAAAGAAATAAAAGAAAAACAAACTCCAACAAATTTCAAGGAAGAAAACGAACTCCAACAAATGCAACTCTCTTTTCTCCAGGAAAGTCAGATAATTGAAACGTGTGTGTGTGTGTGTATGTGTAAGAATAGTGGGGGATCCTTATTAGCAAGCTGATTGCAGGGTGCAAACTCCGGGGCTCGGACTGGCTACGACCTTAAAAGCCCTCTGCCCCCGCCCCCTGCCCGGGAAGACTGGCTTCAGTACTCCAGCAACCGGGTGGGCTCCCGCCCGAAGGCGGCTAGCAACGGTGGAAGCCAGTTTGCTTATAGCAAACCTTCCCCACCTTGGGTAGGAGAGGCACGTGTAGCTTGGAGAAGTCGGGCCAAGGTTGCCGAGAAACATCCCAAGACAGCCGGGCCCTCCACACTGAACATTAACTCTCCCGATTCGCCCTCCCCGCTGCCCTTGCGTCCCAAGAGCTGGGGCACGAGGATGGACTTTCCCCTGCCCGGACGCGCCAGCGAAGGCTGAGGTCTGGGAGGTGGTAGTGGACATGCGAGCGAAGTGTGGTGCCAGGTCAAGCCAGGTGGAGGGAGAGCAGGGGGAGTTACTCTGGGGCTGAGACTGGCTCAGCCGGGAGAGAGAATTGGGCAGGCCGCGGCGAGGGCCAGCCGAGGCTCCGAGGACGCGCCTGGGCTTGCGTCCGAACTGTTATCGTTTCTAGAAAAGCCTGGAGGTCTCCACCTGGTTTCCTGGAAGAGACACCAAGCCGGCAGAGGCGCCGATGGGTCCTGCAAGGCTCTTCCCTGCCTGGGAATCTACCTCCGCGGACCCGCAGCCTTCTGGGCAGTAACTTCTGAACAGCCCCGCGCGCCCCCGAGCCTCCCCCGCATCGCCGCAGCGCGGGCGCCGGCCGGCCGCCTCGGCGGGCACAGCGTGGGCACTCACCCTGGAAGCGGTGGCCGAAGAAGCGGTTCCGCAGGACCCAGGGATAGAAATGGAGAGGGTCCCGGTGTTGGGCGCCGAAGAAGGAGTGCGGGGGCTGCAGCGGGGAGGCGCCCAGCTGGTGCGCCGGGTGCACGGTCAGCGCGGGGTGGTTCATGGCCTCGGGGAACACGAGCTCTGGCCCACCGTAGAGCGAGCGGCCGGCGCCCGCGGCGGCTGCGGCGGGGAAGCCACTCACGAAGGCCGCCTCGGCCGCGCTGGGGTGAGGGTAGTTGAGCGCCGTGGGTCGGAGCGGTTCCTCGGAGGCGGCAGCCGCCAGGAGATGGGAGCCCGCGCCCCCGCCGCCAGTGCCCCCGCCGGTGCCGCCGTCCTTGGCCACCAAGGACTCTATGGTAAAGCCGCGCTTGGTCGCGGGCTGGAACATGGTCGCAGCCGCCGGAGCTGTGCGAGGCAGCCGGGTTCTGGGGAGCGCTCCGCGTCCTGGCGCCGCCGGCGTGCGGGGTGTGCACCCAGCCAGGCACATGCACACCCGCCCGCACCCCTCACCTCCCCCGCCCGCCCGCCCGCTCGCGCTCGGCCCCCGCGGGCGAGCCAGGCGCGGAGTGGCGAGGGGTGTGTGAGCTAGCGAGCGCGGGGTCCGGCCACAGCGCACAGCCAGGCGCGGCGGCTGCTGCGGCGGAGCGGGGAGCTCCAGGCGCCCGCACAGGCGCGGGCTCCGTGCGAGGCTGCGAGCTGCCAGTAAGGCCTGAGGGCTGAGCCCGGCTCCCTCCTTTCGGAGTCCCGCCGGCACCGACCCCAGACCCCGATCTTCCCGCACTACCCTGCCCGGCCCCGGCCGCCCAGCGCTGCGAGGCGCGAGTTAGCGGGCACCTGCCCCGCGCTCGCCCATTGGCCGCCGCTCACCTGCCCCAAGGTGGGGGGCGGGGCGGGGCGGGGCGAGGGAAGGCGGGTTGGGGTGGGGGAGCCCGCAGTCAGAGGCAAAAGCCGGACTGGAGCCTTCGCGGGGAGATTCAGGCCTCCTCCCCTTGCCACTGGCAACTCCTCGCGACTCCGCCCTTTAGCTGAGTCTGCCCTGCCGCCGTCTCAACTCACGCGGGAGCACAAGAAGGCGCCCGAAGGGTTTGTAGCTAAACTCCAACGTCGGCTCTGCGGTGTGTAGCTCAGCCGAACTCTCCCATTCGTCCCGGGATGTCGTTTCAATTCTGAGAACTTGGATCCGAGCGGAGGGTGGGTGTTTGGGGTCCAACACATTGGTTTTCCCGAAAACCAGCTCTTTGCTCCCCTGGTTTCCGGGACCCTCCCACTCACCCACCATCGACCTCCTGGGCCAAGGTCTGAAGCTGCAGCCTTGTTCCTGAGGTTTTGCGCTTTCTGGATGTCATGGGGACAGCTCTGGAAAGGGGACGCTCGCTCCCTTCCCGAGGGGCCAGGCGGGGCACTGAGCGGGAGAAGCCGCCGGAGCGGTCACACCGCCGCCCTCCAGTTGTTCGTGGGGCTGGAAGCAGCTCCTATGCCTAGCCACGGCACCGCGACCGGCTCGGACCAGAACGGCGGGCCTCGGTGCAGAGCAATCCGCCTTCTACGCTTTCTCTGCTCGTGGGGCTCAAGTGTCAGAGGGCTGGACCAGGCCAGGGCCTCGGAGATACTGTGGCTTCAAGTGAAGCTGGCCAATAGCCCGAGCCCATCTCGAGAGGACACGCCGGCCGTCCGGACACGCAGCGGCAGCCTGACCTCCCTCGACCTTCACCTTCCACCCGTGACCGCGGAACCGCGGACGACTCTGCTCTGGCCAGTTTCCGTGTTGCGCACGAATTCCCTGGGGACGAGAGGACAACTAACCGCGAGAGCCTGGACTTCGCAAACTTTCCCACCCCGACCTTCCAGGCCGTAGGAAGGCGCCGCTGCGAGGCCTAGGAGGGCGCGGGCTGCGGTGGGGAGGCTGGAACCTAGATCTTGCCAGCGCACCGCGGAGAGGGAGCCGCAGAGACTTCCGCTTCCTCGACGCTGCCGGGGTCCGTCCGAGCGGCCTGAGCGCTGCCCGGGCGCGTGGATCCGGGCTGGGCCTGCCGACACCCCAAGGCCACGGGGTCCGCGCGCCGCGCAACTCTGCGGGGACTCCAGGCCGGGTCTTGGCAGCGGCCCGCCTGAGCGCCGGGAGCCGCGGTTTGCAGAGCGCTCCGGGCGCCCCGGCCTCCACAAAGCGGGTTAAAGTCTATTTTCCACTCCACTGCTCCGAAAAGCCCCCGCGAGCCGACGCCGTTCCGGCCCCCTTGGGCGAGGTGGGGAGGGGTGGCCAGGGGCGGGGAGGCGAGGCGGCCGCACCCTGCACTCCTCGGCGTCCTGGGAACCCTGGGGCCTGGCGCGGCGCAGACACCGCCGAGGCGCCTTCGTAAGGAATGATGGAATCCGTGGCGAGCGCCGGTGTCTTTCGCTGGCCTCTCCGAAGATTTCTGGCTTTCTGTGATGGTCTTTTTTTCTCTCCCGTTTCTGTCTCAGGCACTTTATCTTCCGCTTCTCCTGCCTCCCGGCTCCCCTCCCTCCCGACTTTTCCTCCCCTGATTTCTTCGCCCTCCTCCTTTTCCCACCCTCATTCTGGGAAAAGGGGAAGTGCCGCCGAGTGGGGGACCAGGACTCGACCAGGCCGTATCTCTGAGGGAGCGGGGGCGCGGAAGTGGGCAGAGTTACAGAAGGAGATTTTCACTCCATATGGAAGGAGACGACGACGGGATTTTGTAGGAGCAAGGTTCCCACAGGGATGCGGGTTCAGTTGGGTAAACGTTGCCTGGGCCTGTTCTCTGTGGCGAGAGAGCAAGTGTTCGGGGCTGAGACAAGACGGGACCCCAGCAAGCTGAACCCGGCCCCAGGGCCTTGCACTCTTAGCTTGTGAATGAATCCCAGCCGTCCTGTCGCAGACCCCCGCTTCCTACCCCCACAGCGAGGCTGGCCAGGGGCTGCGAACTTGTTTAACTGGTCAGGTGGAGCCTGGAATCTACCGCCTGCCCTAGACTCGCATCTACTACTGGCTATCTCTTTTCATTCCTGTGGCTCTGGGTATACTTGTTCATATCTAAATCGATAGACCTTTATTATAATACCACTTTCCCTTGCTAGGCTTTCAAATGCTGACACCTCTACTCGGGAGGCTTAGGCAGGAAGATCTCTCGAGCCCAGGAGGTCGAGGCTGCTGCCTGGGCGACACAGAGAGATCCCATCTCTAAAACAAGCAACAAAAATGTTGACATCCAGCTGTGTGTCATTAACTCCACTTTACAGTTGAGGAAACAGCAGAGGATCAGTAACCTGAGTCTGGTCGCCGTCTGGGTTGGGCTGGGACAGCCCAGGGGTCCCAGCCTGACCTAGGTTCCACTCTCATTCCATCCCTACCAGGATGCAGCGGGAGACTTCCCTGGGGAGAGGGAGGGGGTGGCTGGAATGCGCTGGGCGATAGCAATTCTGTTTTCATCTTCCCTCTTCTTTCACTCTCCCAGCGCCCCTTCCTGTTAACTTCCTATCCTGTAGTTCCCTAATTTTCTTCCATAGCTCTGCTTATCTCTATCGCTTCCCCAGTTACCTCTATTTTCACACCTCTTAGGACCTCTTCTCCTGTAGTTTCCCCTGCGGCAGGTTAAAAGAAGAATATGTCACCCGCAGGGGGGTCTCTAAGCCTCCCACTGTGTTCTGGATTCAGTATCAGTGCCCCTACCCCCACCCAATCTCCTCCTATGCCATCTCCCCTGCCCTGTTCCTCCCAAAGTCTCATATCACCATCCCCTACAACTGATCTTATACACAAATACTTTCCCTCTTCACCACTGGATAGCTGCCCATCTTAACCAAAACCTGTTTCCCCCACCAGCTTCTGTTCGCTGCCCTTCCTTTCCTCCCACCCAAGCCGCTGAGCTCTGCCAGAGGCACCTCACACTGGAGTACCCTATACACCACCTATCTTCAGGCTGCTTACTTTTCACTTTGCCCCGTCCAACCTCCCACTCGCTTCCTGGAGTTCCCATCTCCTGCAACCCAAAGCCTCACTTTCTGGAGAACAGCCCAATGCCTCCTAGGTTGATACAGCCTGGCCTACCTGTTGTGTCTCTGGCCCCACATTAACGTTTTCTCTCCCTCCCTCCCTCCCTCTATCTCTGGAATAAGCTGGCCCCAAATCCAGACTCTTGTTTATTAGTGGTGAGCCCCAGGCCAATTATTTTGCCACAGCTTGCATATCTGTGAAATAGCAAGCATTATATGGGACCTCTGTGAGGATTAAATGAGATAACGTATGTGTGCACTGGATCAGTGTCTGACTCCAGAGAAGCACTGGGTTCAAGTTACTGTTCCTGCCTTTGTCCATGCGGAGAACCTGGGGATAACCTCAAATCCTCACTCTCTCATCCTCCACATCCAATCAGTGCTCAGTTGACCAGTTATGTAATTCTCAAGTCTATATCCTTTTCCTCTGGCTTCTTTGCTGGCTAACTTCATTCTTTACAACTCAGTTATCTCCCTGCGAAGCCCTCACCCATTCTTTCATAGCATTCACCTGCGCGATGAGGTTGTGTGTGTCTCCATCTGTCTCCCTCATCAGGCCGACTCCCTGCTCCCTCTAGCTGGGAAGCTGCTATGTACATCTCCCCCCAGCACAAGCCAGGCAATGTTTCTCCAGCAGAGCTCTTCTGAGAATTTGGACCAGCAACACCCCCAGCCATCTCTCTTTCACCTTTCTCCTCCCTCTTTCCTATTCAGCCTGACTTCATCTTTATGTCTCCTTGTCTTACAAAGAGGTTTCTGCCCTCATGTTTCCCTCAATCTGTTGACAAAACTTCTAATGATTATTAGTCTCCCTCCAACTCTCTCACTTGCCCTCTACCCAAGCCTTTGCAACCAGACTTGGACACCCATCATATTAGGAAAATGGCTTGCAAAAGCTCCAGACATTTCATGATAGTGTTAGGATGAGAGCAACATGTGCTTATGGAGATCACAATAAGTTCAACCTCATGGAGTTACTGAGACTAAATGAGTTATAATCTCTACCTGATGAACTTAGAGCAGTGCCTGGAAAATAGTAGGCTTTCGATGAACATTAACTGCTATTATTTCATAAAGCTGTGCTGTCCAATATAAAAGCTAGGAGGCAAATGTGGTTATATGGTACCTGAGAAGTGGATGGCCCAAATTGAGATGTTGTGTAAATGTGAATACCCACTGCATTTAGTGTTTAAATAGGCTTAGTGCTAAAAAATTTAAAATATTAATATTTTCTATATTGATTACTAGTAATAGATATATTGAGTACAATAAAATATCTTAATAGATAATTTTATTTTATTAAGCCACTAGAACATTTAAAATTACATATGTGTCTCACATTATATTTCTATTGGACAGAGTTATAAAAAATACAGATAATCCAAAAGGGGGGAGTAAAGGGAAAACAGAAATCTTATAATTGTCAAATCCTGTTACCCAGAAACAACCTTGTGAAATTCTTATAGTATATCCTTCCAGTTCTTTCTATATGTAACTCACTTTTTTAAAAAAATGTACCTTACATAGTATTGTAACTTCTTTATCTTTATAATCAATCAAAGCATCTTTGCTTCTCATTAAATATTCTTTATATAGTTTATAAAGTTTCACTGTTTTTACAAAATTTTGACAGCTCCAGAGCTGTATCTTACTGCATGTGTGTTTCTTTTCTACATATTTCTAGCCATATAATTTCCAGATATGCAATATTTTAATTCTATTGATTCATTGTCACCAGTTTGGCCTCTGGAAATGTTCTATACAGTTATTATTCTACAGGCAGACTTTAAGAATCTCTCTTCATCCTCTGAAATGTTCATTAGGACACCTTATTTCCAAATTTGAGTCTTTTTAAGTCACGATTGTTCATAGGCTCCTCAGTATTTGGGCACCTTCAATCCCCTTTTCTTTTGGAAACTCTCTTCCCTTTAGTTTTCAAAAAAGATGCTTGCCTGGATCTGCCACCTCTGGGAGTTGTTCCTTCATGGAACAACTACTCTCTTCTCCTGTGTACTCTCTTCTTCTAACTGTGGTTATCCATGAAGCCATCTTTATCCTTAGCCTTTCCCTCATTCCATGTATTATGCCATTTATCTATCTATCTATCTATCTATCTATCTATCTATCTATCTATCGTCTATCTATCTATCATCTATCTATCTATCTATCTACCTATCTATCTATCTTTTATCATTATCCATTCCCAC